CACGGAGCCCTTCGGGGCTTGTGTGTGTCCAACTCTGTTTCCAAGAGACGTGAGTGAGTTAGGCAGCAGGGGGCCGGTGCTCTCCCTGGGGGTCACCGGCCAACGAAGACACCCCCAGGGAGGGGTGCAAACGTACCTGCAAATCAGTAACCCTAGAGCAAGATTCGTACGAGCTTCTGATTGCATGTTCTGACTTTCCCTTGCAGCTTCTGACTTTCCCTGACAGCTGCTGACTTTCCCTGACAGTATGCACCGACAGATCAGACCTGCGACACGATGTGTCAAGTGTGTGTCTCCGTCTGGCTGGCTGTGTCTCTGTGTCTCTGTCTATCTGGCTGGCGGGACTGGGACAGGGTGAGTTGGCTGGAGATCCCCAATTCATATCCTTTGGTGGCGAGACTCAGCATAAGTGGACTCTGAGGTCTGCTGCCAACATCCCAGCCGTGAACGATCACCTGCGCACAGGGTGAAGCACTCAGCCGAAGTTGCAGCGGGTTGGTATCTGACCAGCAATGGGCCAAACTCCCTTGCTCCCTCCTCGTGCCTGCTGGAAACCGTCGAGTGGACTTGCGCTTGGAGTCAGGCTTGAGCTGCTGATGCTCGATACAGCATTTCAGTACCTTAATCGCTTTACTCCTGCTGACAGTCGGTGTGGCCACGTCCCGGGACTGGTCGGTCATCGCTGGCTGGCAGAGAAATATCAGTAGGACGGCCCCGTGTTTTCAGGGCAGAGTGTGACCCGCATGGAATGCAATCGTAGCACCCTTGCTTCATCATCAGGTCAATACCCATAGTCAGTCTAATTCCTCATCGAAGGTCCGAGTGTCTGAATGCTGCTGCATGAGTGGTGCTCTCGTTAAGCTTTGTGTGCTTGACCATGACGGCCCCGACATGTCTTTGAGAGCTGAGGGGCGTGACGAAGAAGACATGTTGCAAGCACATTCGGTCCCATTCAATCCGATTGCAAAGCCTGACGAGGCTCGTGAAGCCCTGTTTTGGTTCGTTGACAATCTCTGCAACTCAGCTGAAGAGTCTGCTACAGCGAGTTGCACTTGCCCTGACTTTGTCGAACGGACATGTGAATACCGAGCCATGGTAGTGTGACTGACGCACAGGTGCTGGTTTTCCTGGCCACCCTTGTCTATCGCAAGAAGGTCGATAGAAACCTTGCCTTGGCACTCAATGTCGCACCCTAGCTTCAACTTGGCACTGAAGGGAGTTCAAAGTGCCAGACATGACGACATGAAGTGGTGAGGTGCTGGCAAGCGTCGGCCCTTGGCTTATCCTCTACTATCACAAGTTGGTTGACTGGGACGAGTCTCAGCCCCAGGAACTCGCCGGCAGCTTTTAAGATGGGCTCTGGCCGCATTCTTGAGGCCGTGGCAGCCCGAGCTCAATGGTGATTGGCCTTCGACTGCCTACCTGGCCCCGTGGGCTGCACGACGTGCATTGAAAACCATCGAGTCGCTCCGGAGTATCAATGTGTGCATTTCTGCCAATACAGCCCCTACACGAGAGGGGCAGAGCCTTCCCGAATCATGTCAAGAATGCACTGGTCGGTGTTCTACCCTTGCAGAGGACCCTTTAAGTGGCCGGTTCCGGGAATGGAATGTGCAGGCACATGAGTCTCGAGCAACTTGCGAGGCAGCGCACTTGGCTGACATTCCTGCGCTGCTGGCCATCCCGCTGAGTCTCTTCGGAGCAGGCACGCGCTTTCTCTCGAAACTCTGACATCGGATAACATCTGTCGCAGAGACTCCTCCGAACTGGACAGGATCCATGCAGCCAGCAGCTGCCACAGAAGCTCTGGGCCAACTGAGCCAGCACACTTTGTGATCTGCTGCAGCGTGGTCTATCCGTGGCAGATGTGTTCAATTGTTTCCAGATCCTTACCGACACTGAGTCTACTTTGATCCGACTTGTGTCGGGCAAAGCTGCGTCGTGTGTCGCAGCACGTCTTCGCGAGTGCTTTAGCCGCCTGCAGACCTTTCGTCTTGGTCGAAGGTGTTCGGAGACGTGCTTGGCCCTTAGGCCCGTATGAGCAAGACCCTATTGTTTTATTTGAACTGAACCAAAATACGGTGACACCGATGCCGTCGAGATTTTTCAATATGCGATGCTGTGAGTGAGTGGAAGACAAGTCGATGCTTGAGCGACACACAGAGCATCTGTGGCGGCCTTTGATCCATTTGGTTGCATTAGCGTTATGTCCGATCTAGCCAGCGAGTGAGATGTTCTGCAGCTTGCCTTCCCAGATGTTCCGCTTTGAAAGTTCCATGGGACTGTGCAGTGTTGGCGATTACGCTTCAGATGCATGCAGGCAGACATTCTGCCGGCAGCAAGAAAGATGCAGACACTTGTTTGTGGCCTTGTTGCTTGGGGTTCCTGTGTGACGGTATGCTTCCCGAAAGACAGACAGGAGGGCATAGTTACACGGGCAACCATCCAACCGTTCATGTGCTCATGCATCCATGGGTTTATGTATGCATAGATACCACATCCGCACGTACGTACATACACCTACACATGTGAACATGTATATGTACATGATAAGTGTGTGTGTGTGTGTGTGTGTGTGTGTGCGCGCTTATGCACGTATGACTGGACGCAAGCAGAAGGGAACAGACATTCACAACGAGATGCGGACATTCACAGACAGACAGGCAACACCAAGTAAACCCGAAAGCACAATCAACATTCATTCAGAAAGTCACATAGTCCGAGGCCGAACAAGATGTAAAGCATTCATTCGTGTTTAGTACAAGATACAGGTAAACAGTATAAAGAACTTAGACTCAATAGCCCGTGTGGAAGATCTTTCAAACAAGTGAGGAGGTTGTACTGCACAGTTTCGGCCACAGTGTTATGCGATTTCACTCGCCCTGTGGTGCTGCCGCAAAGCTGAGTTCGTCAGCAGTCGAAAACATCTCGCGACAGGCTTCGTCCGGCTGTGAAAAGTCCGCGATTGTGGATTTCATGTACGCTTAGCTGCCGTGTCAACTTAGCTGTTTCCACAGATGCTGGGACGCGCTCTCCACCCCCGCCTCGTACCCTGTGGCAGATGCGACGCATCGAGATGGATGCGTTGCCCTCATTCTAGTCTTGCACATCCGAGAAATCAGTTCTCGAAGGCCGACGCTGGCCAGTAGGGTTGGAAGATACCAACCCCGTCTGGCATCGTAACGCAATCGAATTTGAGCATAGTTTTGGTGGGTACAAGTGCTAAACCCCAGCCCTCCCAAAGAGACGAATTTTCAACATCCATCCCTGGGCTGTGGCGTGTGCTCCCTTTGGCCTCTGACATGTCGATTTAAGGCAAAGGACAACAACCACAACAGCCAGACCACCAGCAACTGCTGCAGCAAGGACGACAACAAAATCTACGACAAAAGCATGATGCAAGGAATAGTTTGTAGTATTGTCCGCACCCGCAAGAGGAACGGGGACATCAGTAGCAGCACTGGCACAATGAGGAGCATCTCCCTGCAGGTGGCTCTTCCTCACTCGTAATGCGGAACGCTTGTTGTTGGCCTCGGCATGCCCGTCAAGTATCTCAAGCAAGTCAAAGTGTTCGCCATTCGTCCTGAGGCACCGACCCGGTGCAATGCATGAAAACCGATTTTAATGGGTTCTCATTCGCGGGCCACAAACATGTGCACCTCGAAGTGCGTCGTCACCACCTGTCAGTTGCAGGGCCAACGTGACCCTCACTCTTCTTGAGCATAGCTCTCGCAGCTTTAGAGTACGCAGGGCGTAGGGTGCTGCTCAAATGTCACGTGGTCGACATGCGCAATCGCTCCAGGGCGGTCTAAACGTTGTTGCGGCACAGGCTAGACACCTGCAGAGGCAGGCGCCGTTCCATCACGAACTCGTGAAAAGCATAATATTGGAGCTGTTCGACACCAAACACACCTGATTCAGGGACCGGAAGAAGGCGACGCGCAAGAATCCCTGGCATAAGCTGCATCAATCTCGTGCAACTTTGGCGTCATGTTTGGGCTCGAAGCATGCGTGCCCTTGGTGCTGCAGCGGCAGTCCCTGGACTCAATTCAGCCCCCAGGGCTCAGGGCCCTGGAAACTTGCGATGTTGAGCAAAGGAGTGGTGCAGTATCTGAATGCTCCGTCCGCAAGTGACCCTCGACAGGTGCGACGATTCGCCACGATGCCACCAGCACCGGTAGCACCGCCGCTCACGACAGTGCTTACACCCTTGCCAAAGGGGACAGGAGACCTTGGCTGCTGTGTGGTCTTGAAACCGGCCCGAAGATTTCACTGCGATAGCACTTGCGTGAGCCTGCTGTCGTCCTGATGATTCGTCCCAGGGGCCCATGAGCTGATTCTAGCATTGCTTGGCAGAAAGATTCGTGTGGTTGAAAATGACTGAAGCAGGCCCCGATTTTCCAGCCTCAGATCTGGCTTCACGTCAGCATTACTGGAAAGGGCGGATTCCTTCCAGCTTGTTTGTTGATTTCGATCCGATCTCACCAGAGCTTCAGGGGATGGGGATCGTTTGGGGCGGCTTGCTGCAGACTTGGTTTAAAATCGTTGCCGAAAGACTTTCGGAGGCATGTCGTTGTGCCTGAAGAACTCCGCCGTCTGTGACTTGATGCCGTGCCCAAGAACGCTTCGTCTGCTGAGGTTGCCGGGGGTCCAGCACTGGTCTTCGCCATTCGCCGCCCTGGCTGAGGCAATCTCACGGGGTTTTGGGCGGAGACACGGGCTTGATGAAATTGTTGTTTGGAGAATGTGGATCTGCATTTTCGGCTGAAGCTCATCTTGTGGTGCTAATCAAATCACCGCTGCAGGCATGTGCCGGAAGGCCTGGGATCTGCCGTGTCCTGACCGGGGCTTGTTCTCGACTTCGGTTCTATGTTGCGTGAGGAACATGACCCTATGACTGGTCTCGACAGCACGCCATTAAGCAGCAATGCGTGTGTCTGCGTCTTCGTTGTCTACAGAGGGCGACATCTGCGCAGGAGGCCAAGGAGGCGGCCTCCCACATGGCTGCTGCGGCTGCATTGAAACTCAAAGAACGCAGCCTTTAAACGAGTAGGGATGGGCCTCGGGACTAAATCAAGCCTCTCTGTAGAGAGCGCAATCTGGGCCGCGTGTCGGGGTCATGTCGACGAGATGGTGAATATGGTGAATGCAGTAGTCCCATTCTCTCAAGAATGTTATGCCACCTTTGGCAAGTGAGCGCTTGGGCACTGCTCAGGATGAGTTCAAAGCTGCTGGTGCCACTCGCGTGGTTGCTCTGGTGAAAGAAGACCTGGAGAATGAGGTCAAAGAGTTCCGTGCCACCGACGCAACAGAAAGCAGGACTAGTAGCCCGAGCCCACGCGCCACATGAGGAACGATTTGTTCTGGTGCAGGATTGATGCCTTGCTTGAACGCTATGCCTGCGTATGAGCAATTAATGAACTGTTAAGTTTTGAAGGCAAATTTTTCACGGCTACGCACTGGTTGTCAACTCATCTTAAGAACTGCACCACGGCCACTGAGTTGGTGGCTTGGCTGCTTCAGGCTACGTACGTCCTTTAAACCTTCATCAGAACAGACGCAGCTGATGGTCGGGAGACTCCACTGGCTCCAGGGGCTGTCGTCTTTTTCAGGGATCCGAGCCGAGGTGAAGGCTTTTGGCCTGGTGAGGTGCTCATGGACTCGGAGCATAAATTCTACAAGGCCTTGGGCGGCGGTGAGGCCCGAACTCGAGGGTTCGGCTCTCAAGCGCATACGCGTCGAGCTTCCACTGCTTCTGGCAGACCCACCAGCCATTGGGACTGCTCTCTTTTCTCGGCATGATGTTGAACCCGTCGGATCCTCATGAGGGGGATTTTGGATCGGTATGTTACGTTGTGTTGGAGATGCCTTGTCCAAATCGCTGCTGAGAGCAGAAAGACATGGAAAGATGCTCGCATGTCCTCATGCGAACGCTTTGAAAGGCTGTTTGGCTTCTGCATGCCTTTGTACTAGTTACCAGCCTATTGAAGGGTTCTGCTGGGGAACATCCGTCAGAGGTTCAGCTCGAGCAAGACGAAGGCCAACATCAAGAACACGACAACGCCTGGGAATATGACTCCTGGCAAGGGGAAGCGAAGGGATCGGTCAGTACTGAAACGCTCGGGTCAAACGATGGCACACGCAGAAGCATTTCGTACCGAGGAAGGGTGAGGGCTTCATCGCTGGTGGTTGCTACTGAGATGCACGCAGGAGTGGCATCCGAGCCGCGAGAGTTCAAAACAATGAAACCCGGGGCCAAGCTTCAGTAGAACTGCTCCACAGGAGCAAAGCCCAACAAAAGCTAGTCCGCTAGAGCCTGAATTTTGAGGCTACGTCTTGAACAAAGACGGGACACCTGCCTTCAGTCACCTCGAGGAGAATTTGGGAGACCACGCCAAGCCAGAGGACATAGTGGACGGTTGTTAAACTAATCGCTTCCCATTTAACCTCCGCCCAGTATTAGATAGGATTCTGTAGGAGCATTTGGCCCTTAGGCGCTGAGCATTGAAGCGCTCGCTCACTCACCCACTCGCTCACTCACGCGCACACGCTCGCTCGCTCCCTACCCACCCACACCCATCCACCCACGCCCACCCGCACCCACTCACACCCACACCCACCCACCCACTCCACCACACCCACCCACCCACCCACCCACCCACATCCACCGACACCCACCCACACCCACCCACACCCACCCACACCCACCCACACCCACCCTCGCTCTCGCTCGCTCTCTCTCTCTCTCTCTGTCTCTGTCTCTCTGTGTCTCTATCTCTCCCTCTCTCTCGCAGAGTAATGTGTAGGGAGTGGCCCAGCATCCGAAACCATATGATTGCAACCGACAGGTCAAACTGATATAGACTAGGTTAAGGGATTCCCGGGATTATAGAAACTGCACGATTGCAAGAGCCAGTGTGTATCAGAACGTATGAGTTCAGCTGAGAGCAACAGCTGCAGCCAGCAGGGGTCGCAGGACTGCAGGGATTGCGGCTGCCAAAGGAAGGGTTCAGAAGTTTAGACTCATGCGCTGAGCACTGGGAATGCTCAGAGCCAAAACCCGTAGTATCCAATGTTCGCTCGGAGTTTTATTTAGTCTTCCGGGGAGGGGGGGAGAATTAGTAATATAATAATAAGGGGGAGGGGAGGGAGGAGATTGATTCAGGCCGAGCAAAGCTTCTGAGCCGAGTGTCCGAAACGATTGTTTCCGATCTACTGGCAAGTTTTAGGCTGTCCATTTCGCGCTGTGGTCGGGGCCTGTTCTCTGGCATCACGGCGACGTGGATGTTGGTGGGTTTGGTGCAGTTAGCAGCCGAACGACAACCTGCTCAAACCCGCGTGTCAGCATGTCCTTGTTGAAACCAGTGCGTGCACAGTATACAGATGTACAGCCCGAGCTCGTATCCCAAAATCCGCACCCCAGAGGTAAGTTAGGATAGTTAGGGGTGACGCACGGGATTCTGTGGAAAGTGCCCGACGGGACTTGCGCGACAAGGCTTCTGTGGAAGCACCAAGAAAGGCACTGGGGTGTGCCTTCCAGTCATCATAATTCCGTTTGCGCGGCAGGGCCTCAATTCTTGGATTCGGGGGCCTGTCTTCTCGAATTTTGGGCTACCTTGCAGCTGAATTTGCACGGCGTCAGTCGGCCGCTAGTAATTTAAGTTCGAGGTTTCAGGGGCTCAATGTGTTCAGGCGATTGCACAAGTCCTGATGCAAAAAAGGGGCTCGGAACAAGTCTCTCGGTGCTTCCAGGACATTGTGGCAGCCCTGCGGCCCGGCTCAACTGAAGCATAACTTTGCGTGTGCGCTTCCCTGGATATTTGCAGATCGAGGGTACGCCTCGCCTGTTGGTATGCGCATGTATGCGCTCAGGCAAGCTGCTTCGAAGATGTAAGCGCCAGCTTAGAACGGACGCTTGCCTGCAAGCAGCTTCGCAGCGTGGGCAGCATCCGATGCATGCCGATGACTGCAGATCTATCAGTTCAGGTCGGTGTGCACGCAGCAAGCAGGAATGGCTCAGAAGAAGGCGGCGTTTTAAGCTTTTCGCATGTTCGCATTCTATCCAACATTTCGACTGGATCCAAAGGGCACAATCTGGTTCCCAAGAAACGGACTTGTCGTCAATGTCGTCTAGCTTGTAAACCATTTTTATTGGTCTGTGTGCAGTGGCGAGCCAGCTCTGCATTGCAGGATGTTCTGCCGTGCAGATGGTGAACTGGAAGATTTGCAATCATTGAGTGACGCAGTTCAGCTTCGAGGCGTCTTGGCACACAACCGACAAGTGCTTGCCGCAAGCCTCGCAGTCTTGTGAGAGGAACCCTTCGCTCGCTGGCGCTGCTGATGCATGAGTTGCATGTCAGAAGTGGATAGCAGAGAATCTCGTTTGCTTTTAGGATTCTACAAGCCTCCACATGTTTTCTTTTTCAGCGAGGAAGCTCAGTCAGACTTCCAGCAATCCACTTTCCTAGCCCAGTCGTGCCATGTCATGTCAGACTCCGGCTGAGAAGCCCTGCAAAACAGGAGATGCACCGCACACTTTCCTGTGACCTTTTCAAATACTGTATCTTGGCCTTTCAGACATGGGCTCTCAAGCCACTGGAGCCTGTGACGCTCACCGCAAACTGTACATAGCACTACGTACATTTTCGCGGGATTTTCGAGGAGCAGTGCCTCACTGATCACTCATGTATGATTCCTTCAAACGTCCGAGGCACTCCGAGCGACACGACTAGCATGTAGCCACAGTACCAGGGCCATGCTTTTGGCTGTGTGTGCGTGTGTACTGGACATGTGACACAGTTTTGCAAAACACAGATGGGTTGAGTAGCTTTGTCTCTTCGGCACATGGATTGATTTGACAGGTGCTTAGGAAAGAATCTTTGTCTGTACCCGTAGCGAACGAGTAGGATGCGCAGGAACGCAGAGGCTTGACACGATCAGTGTGCAGCTCCCTCAGCACTTGCACAACTTTTCCGAGACTGCATTGCGCAGAGCCCACGGGAACGAGTGCTGCCAGTCCTTCATGTCTGCATATTCGTTAGTGACAAAAGCGAAGTATGTGGTAGCTTGGGCGTGGCAGCATTGCATTCACCTCACGCTGTGCAAGATTGAGCACAGGCTCACGCGTGAGGCAGCTGAAAATCGGACAGAGACCAACCCGGGCTGACGAGCTCTGTGTGTGTGTGTGCGTTATGCTGATCAATCGCGCCCACGTGCGATTGTCATTGCGTCGTGCCCAGCTACCTGACATCCTTGCAGCCTCTGCCAGTTCTCGTCTTCGGTTCAATGTCTTTGAAGGGGGTCGACCGGATGCTGCAACTGTTGTTTTTTCTCCATGCCGAGATAAGTAGACTCTCTCAGATGACATTCACCAGTACTTCGTGAAAGGGAAGCCTCAGCCAGGGTAAGGTGCGCACGCTTGTAGATTTGCTCTGAGCAATGTTGGGCCATTTGGGCCCGGGCCCTCGGCCCAAACGGCGCCGCTTCGAGTTTCAGCCGGGAGATGTTGTTGTGAAGATCCTGGTGAGCCCGGCCACGGCCAGCAAGATCATTGGCACCGGCGGTGCCGAGGTCAAAGCTCTGAGGGCCCAGAGCGGGGTAACCCTGCACATTTGGGAGAACAAGTTCATGGGCACGGGTCTCCAAGTTGTGGTCCTCGGAGGTCCGCGACCAAGTGTAGACCAAGGCTTGGCATTCGTGATGGAGAAGTTGGCGGAGGAAGCACTGTCGAGCTCAGTTGAGATCGTCGCACAGCTGTTGCTAACTCGCAACACGGTGTCCAAGATCATCGGTGCCAAGGGGGCGAACATCCAACAGCTACGGCAGGAGTTCGGTTGCCACATAGAGGCCGAAAAGCTCACCCACAACGGCGAACAGGTGTTAAATGTCAACGGGCCGAATGAGATGCTGCAGGGGCTCCTTCTGAGACTCACTGAGCTCGTGGAAGGGTCTGGGGATTCCCAGCAAGTGGCCAACAACGAGTATGGCACAGATGCAGGGTTTGTCGGAACTTGGAAAGGCAAGGGTTCAGGTCCCAAGGGGGTCTTCGGTGATTTTGGCGGCGGCAAGGGGGGTGAATTTGGCGGAGGTGGCAAGGGAGGTGATTGGGGCGGTGGCGGAAAGGGAGGTGACTGGGGCCACGGCAAAGGAATGGGGGCCCTGGCCCCAGCTGCTCCGATGGCCGGCAGCAAGGGCAACAAAGGCTTTGACGGCTACGGGCAGGGCCACTACGGGCAGTACGGGGCCCAGGACACCCAGGTGGAGTTCCTGCAGGCCGAGCAAGACCCGGCGGTGTTAGCCAGCGTCTCCACCATCCAGTTCGCGATTCCTGTGGAGTCCGTGAGCCGTGTTTTGGGCAAGGGCGGCATCTACTCCAAGGAGATCTCCAGGCATACGGGAGCCAAGCTGGTGATTGACCCAGCCGTTCCGGGGGCGGAGACATGCGTGGTGACCTTGACTGGTCAGGTGGGTGGCGTAAACCGTGCCCATTGCATGGTCGTGTCCCGCCTCCTCGCACAATATTAATCTGACAGCGGGCGTGAGCTGAGAGCACTGCTGGCGACAAAATTGCAGAATCGAGGTCTGAAGGCGCCTCGGAAATCAGCTTGTTCGCCGAGCCCACATGAACCCACGCCTTGCCAAGCCAGCGTCTCGAAGGTCTAGTTAGCCGGCATCCTGCCAGCAAAGGGCACAACACGACAATGCAACGAAGGATAGGCTAGCGGTTAGGTCTAGAGAGATACGGAGGCCACACGGATGAAGCCATTCAGATCTGCACCCAGCTGCCACATGCCGCGAGCTCGTCCGATTATGGGCCGCCTAGGGCGCAGGCAGAGGTCGGGTCCACTTTTTGCGGTTTGGTGCCAGCTTGCATTGCTCAGTCAATTCTGTACCCGCAGCGATATTGCTGGATCAAATCCCTGGAACAAGTCCACCGAGAGGTGCTTCTCAATTGTTCTAAAGGTGGAATTCACTTTCTGCCATCTCATGTCTGTTAGGATTTCATATCCTGAGGTGCGAAGGGTTAGTATTTGCCGCACCGGTCGTTCCTGTCGCAGGGAAGCCTTGACAGCACAAAATTAATCTTCAGATCTGTATCGCATAATTCGATAAGCCTGCATGTTGCCCTAGGGTCCACATCACGCAAGAAATATAGAAAGTTTCAGGCTTCTGGCTGTCTTTATTGTGCAACTAAGCAGCAGGTGATGTGGACCCAAAGGGTTGCTCTTTGCATGGTTCGTCTGAGCCAGACCGTCCATCGTAGCACGGCCTAGCTGCAGAGGCCCCTGAGTTGACAAGCTTGGGTGTGGGTCGGAGTCTGTCGGGTCAGCTCGTGTCACACGACCTTCTTCGCTGGGGACGGGATGCAAAACGCAAGGCTTTGAAGCTTTGGATCCTTCGGCAAGTCGTGCTGTGTGTGCCCTGATCGCAGATGCTTCTTGGGAGCCACGGCAGTGCTCGAGACGGGGAATCCGCTGGCAGGAGAGGGCTGCATGCAGTTCTAGGGCTCGTCGTGTTACGCGAGAAACCGGCGTGGTCTGCGGTGACTCTGAGCGAGGGACTGCAGGTCACCAGAAGACGCTTGAACTGAATGTGTTCTGCTGTGTTCCCTTAGAAGACCAGGAGAGATGCAGACATCCAAGCCGAAGCGAAACATCTCCTGAGCACGTGGCTTCGCCACGAGGATGCTTCCAGCTTGGACATCAGTCTTGTTGTGCTTCATGGCAAGCTTCGGTCTTGGGTTTCGCTCACATCGGCATTGGTACTGCATGGGGCATGCGATGTAGCCTGTAATGCCAAGTGAGAACCCTGTTGTAAGTGAGCCGAGAGCGTCACACCAAAGGAGGACTCCGCCGACCTCTTGCATCGCAGAACGCAGTCTGTGGCTTGACTTGAGCCAAAAAGAATTTATTATATATTATAATTTTTTGTAGTAGTATTGTTGTTATTTTTGTTGTTCTCATTATTACGATTATTAATATGCTTGAACCATTGATCGCCCTTGACTGTCACACATGGAATGACCTCGACCATGTCACGAAGCAAGGCGAGTTTAGGGTCTAATGTTGGACCGGCTTTATGGGCGGTGGACCCCCCACCCCCTCCCAAACAAATTCTTCTGCCTTCAACTAGTCTGACCGGCGCAGGAGGCAAAATAGTGTGACCCGGCTGACCTCGCAGAGTGGTACATAAGTAGGGCGTGCGTTCTACCGGGGTCTACTCGTAGGTGCTTAACCAGTTGGAAGAGTTTTGGAGGTTCGCATTGTTTTGGGGATAAGGGGTAGCTAGAAAGGTTTCGAAGGGTCTGACGGGTTTCGGGAGGGGGCGTAGCTTCGGTCGGCTTAACTAGGGAGCTTGGGCTTTCCCAGAAAGGAACCAGGCGGCCTGTGGGGGTTGTACAGGGCCTCAACATACATTTTTAGCCAAAGATTTCCGGTAAACGGTCAGTTTGGATTTCTGTCGATGTAAAACGGGCTTTTGATACCAGTACTAGTACCATGTTCAGGACAGCAACTGGCAAGTTTCTCCTTCGTCACGGCCCGGGGCGATCTATCAACTGAATCACTTCGTCTTGTCCAGCTCACCAATTCCTCCAAACTCCATTCTATTGGCTTTGAGCATTGGTGGGAAAACTGTCCCAAGCAAGAAGTAAATCATGCATCGCCACTCTGAGGACATATGCAAAGATTTGGGCGTTTTGGGTCGGCGATCGAACCAGTATGTTGACAACGGGCTCTTGTTTGGGTGGTTGTATGTGCATGATATTCCATGTTGGGCATTCCTGGCACCACAGCTGCTCGGGTGATATCTGTCGCATGTTGGCGAGCCTGGGTGAGACACTCAACAGCACGAAAACTGAGATTTCTTGTCATCCTTCTGACGTAAATATGTTGTGTCCGGGCACAGGGACCCATGTTGTCATCGTGCGATTGGACGACGAAAGGAGCTTGCTTTCGCAAAAACCTACGGCTGTCCATGACCCCCCACAACTCCGATGATCAACCTCACGATTAATTGACCAGCTACGCGAAGTCCACTTCCTGACTACCTACGCTGGGATGGACGGTTTGTGGAGTGTTCTGAAAATGGGCTTGGTTTCGCCGATGTTTGAAGGATTTGATCGCCACACCAACGAAATTCGAGGTTGTCAGTCCGCTGACCATGATGACGTTCATGGTCTCATGCGTTCTAAGACGAGAGCATCCATGGACGTCCATGGTGGAAAGCGTTCTGAGGGCACGGCCGAACCATGATGACGTCCATGGCTTAATCCGTTCTGAGAAGAGAGCATCCATGGCCCAGCCATGATGACGTCCATGCTGGTGCTGTGGCCAGTGATGCGAATCATGGGTAGACGTTTTCGCCCGTCTCATGGTCTTGGTCAAGTGCAACCTGGCAAAGCAGGTCAACACCATGCAGAAGCTTGCTGGCAAGACCTGGAAGCATTCGCATGCCAGATCTTGGGCGCAGCAGAGGGCGTTTCTGGGCGAGGCAAAGTCCAGAAGGACCAACAAACTCGGTCGAACCAATGCTGCCGGAGCATCGAAAGCTCTTTGGCAGCTCCGCTTGTGCTCCATAAGCCTGCAGACTCAACAGCCTTATGCAAGTTTTTCGCACATTTCAAGCTTATCATTTGGATGGCTTGGTGCCAATCCTTGTGAATAGCTCCATGAAAAAAGCTTTGGTCGATTCTTTACACTTTCCCGAAATGCACAGGATTTCACAGGGCACGTTTTTTGCTAAAACATGCTTTTCCGTTACGCCTGCCCGAACTCTTCCAATATGCCTCAAGTGCCATGCCTGCCACGAAGATCGACACTACGGCAAGACATGTTTTTCCAAGGCCCAAAGCCCGGGGTGGCAACAAATGTTATACTGGCACCTGGCAAAATCCATTTTTTCGTCCAAAGCCTTGAAACTGCTGCGCCTGCCGACAAAAGACGACATTGCAGCGCAGGCCTCGGGGGCGGGGGTGCGGCACAACGCCGGGTTCGAACGTTTACGGGCTCCTCTAAGGCTTTATGGATTCTAGAGAGGTTTTCTAGACGGGCTGAAGATGGCCTTCAGGTTGGGGTTTGGGTTGAGGTTTTACGGAGGCTTTGGGACTTTCAGAATTGGGAGGATCAAGCCTTAGGTCTCTTGTGCTTATCCTCTGGTACTTCAAGCTTCGTCACTAGCAGCAAAACAGAGCAACAAGAATCCGCCGGGCCAACAGAATTCGCAAAAAGAATTGCAAAGAAGAATAAGCCGCCAGAAAAGTGCATGGAACACCCCACCTACGCAATAGCCAGTCCAACACTAGAGCCTTGGCAGTAGATGCAGAAGGATAGACTAGGGGGAGGTCTGCATGTCCGGTTCGACCATATTGGAGGCTGAAGCGAGCAGGTAAGAGGCGCGCAATATAGAACCATGAGTCAGCTCTGCATTGGTTTCTGTGGGGTGCATATACGCAAAAACAAGTAGGTTTGTGGAAAGGTTTGCTTTGATGCGATGCTCTTTTCGTCAAGTGCCTGCAAGGATTCAAAGCTCCGGCCAGTCGGAGACTCTGCAGACTCAATGTCGATGCCGGTGCTGCTGAAGAGCTCTTCACGACGGACCTCCACGGACCTGTACAGGAAAGTCGAAGGAAAGTTGAGGGAGCCTAGGCCGTTAATGTTTGCATGTTGGCGCTTCCGTCGTGGACTGCGGGTTGTTACGCAAGCCCAGGAAGTTCAAGGCCATGCAGATGCAGCTTTGGCAGCGGACGTAGATGTCGCACTGCGTTGTGCCTTGGCACTAGCAGAGACTGCAGCAGTTCCAGATGTCCGAAAGCAGACTAGCAGCAATCCTACAATGCCCCAACCACCACAGCAGAGCAGAGTCGGCCAGACCAACTGCGATCAACTGTCGCCATAATGTCAAACCCTGCATGAGAATGCTGATCCCCCTTCCTGGTCCTTGCACTGAACAACGACACACCTTCCCAACCAGCCTACAACAACCTTTGGTGCCTCGCACTTGGTCGTTTGATGGTCTAACTTTTCCACCTACCTTTTACGAAGGCGGAGCCTTGCCAGCTCCGTGCAAGAGTGAGAGTCGAAAGGCCTTGCAGACCGGAGGATGGAGAAAGCAGAGGAGCAGGTGCGATGAGCTGTCAGCAAACGCCGTGTTCGCCATAAGTTCGGTTTGGTTCCATCGCGATTTCGCTTGCCATTTTGGGAGGCACGAGCCAGCGCGAAAGCCTTGAGTCGACCCAGCAGCAACTGGGCAGATTCGGATTGGCCAGAATAAGCTTCACTTGCTGAACCAGCGACTCCAACATATGTTCTACTTGTATGTTATGTTGATGCTGTAGTCTTCGGAGTGGACATGCCCAGTCAAGCCCATTGGTTTGCTCGTGCAGGTAAGCCGCTGCCTCCTGAACGGGATCCCTTTCTGCGAATGGAGGCCGAGCTGTCGGAGAATTTGTGGGTTGAGGCGAGCATGAAGGCTGCGTGCCTTTGCAGGCGCGCCATCGTGCACTCGATGAGCGCCGTCGTACTGCGGAGCGCCGAAGCGGCAGTGGCGGTACGGCCGGTACACTGCAGGCGTGCGCAATACACGCAAGATCACGCGCAAGAGACTTTGCTCATGACGGAATCGGACTGTGGAGCACCGAGCAGGCTCGTGAAGCCAAGGGGCCCCCCAAGCCGCCGAGGACGTTCCCAGCAGGGTTTACCGCTCAATCTTGAAACTGGCCAAGATGTATGTGAGGATGTTCCGTCAGCGCTCCTCGTCAAGGAAGAGCACTAGCCGAGAGCCGCAGAAACCATTGGAGGCCGCTCGAGTTTGTCAGGACTGAGTGGCCCATTTACCACCGACTTATAACTGTTGGTACCTCTTGGTTCTACGTAGTACGGCAGCTGCAGGACGAAACTGCCAGTCTTGATGCAGAAGTCGCGAAAGCCAGGGAGGACAGCTGGCATTCCTCATGATAAACTACCACAGCTGCCATCCCTGCAGGAGATTGAGCGGGAGGTCAAGGCAGTACGCGAGCTGCATGCAGCGGAACAGGCCAGAGCTCGCAAGGCGTCTGAGGTCAGGAGCCTCGAGCAGCAGCTGGAAGAGGCCCGGTGAAGGGTTGGAAATTCGAGCTGTAGGGTTTTGTAGATGCCTGCCTGTGTGATTCCGTGGGCTTCTGCAGAGTGGCGAGGTCCAGCAGCAGAAGAACTCGGCCAAATCAGCACAGCGTGAACGAGCTGGGGCGGATCTTGGCTCTTTGCTGGACTCTCTGGGGCAGCGAATGATGCGGGCACACTCCCGCTGGGCATTGCATCACCTAAGCGACGGCAGCAAGATGCTGAAGAGGAAGGGTAAGATTGTTTTCAGCGCGCACTGCGCGTTCGTCTTGTCGGCGTGTGCCCATGCTTGGCGTGAAGCAGCTTCATCTGCTATTGCAGATCGTCAGGCTGCACAGCACCTAGAAGTCATGCAGCGAGCGCGGCAGCAGGCTTTGCTGGCAGATGCTCACTGCAAGAGGCGCTTGGCTTGCCGAAGCTGGCTTGCGTGGCGACTCGAAGTCCATCACACGCACACTGACAGATCGAAGCGAGTATCTGCAACAGCGACGGCTTTCCTTGCCGCCTTGCCCAGTGCAGAAACTTCTGATCACGTGCACATCTCTGATCCAGTGCAGGTGCAAGTGGCCCCGGACTCCGTGGACATGGATGCGGCAGAGCATGTCGGAACATCCCAGAGTGCACAAGCAGTGATCTCGACTCACGTCGAAGATGCCCCGACAGCAGAGACCAGCCCGACCGAGACTAAGACGCCAGCAGAGCAGACCAAATCAGAGGTACAAGCTTGCAACTCCCGCGAGGCACGACCTGCTTCTCGATCACGGGAGCTGCGTGCAATAGACAGGCGTGTGCAAGAGAGACGGAAAGCACAGGAAGAAAGGCGGCAGCAACGACAAAGGAGACAGGCCGAAGAAGTTCAGCAAGACTGCGTGGACGGTGACAGGTACCATCGGGCAAGTCCCGACCCTGCGAGACGTCAACAGGCCTCATCATCATCAGAGGGGGCGCAGGTGTCTGCACATCCAGATGCCCAACAAGAGGGCTGTGGTCCAAGCCTTCCCCTTGTGGCCAGCAGCGGCCACGCCAGGCCAAAGGCCTTGCGCGAGATGGAGAAGAGGGCGGAGGAGAGACGCCTTATCCACGAGGAGCGGAAGAAACGCCAGAAGGAGAAGGAGGAGGAACAAAAGCAGAAGCAAGCTGAGGAGGAACAGGAGAAGCGCCTGGCAGAGGAGCAGGCCAAGCAGGAGCGCCTGCGCTTGCGCAAAGAGCAAGCCCAGGAGCAGCGACGCCTTCGGGCACAGCGGCTTGTCGCAGCCGCAATCAGAAGAGATCGTGATCGTCAGGCTGTGGAACTCTACAAGCTTCATCAATACATTCGGGTTTGGTGCGCTTTGCGCCAGGCCGTCAGTCATACGGCCTTTTGGGACCTGCTCGCCTTGAACCGGAGGCGGACAGCTTTGCTGAAGAGCTGCTTCACAAGCTGGCATCGATATCGTTTGCACGCTGCATCAGCGAAGTCAGCCGCACGACTTGCCCGAGCTCATTTGGCGGTGACCTGGTTTGCACGGCGCTTTGCCTTTCGAACGCTCGTGTTGTGGCTGAAGAAACTGCAACTGGCCAAGCTCCGGCAGTATTGGGCAGCAGTTGCGGCTTCGCGGCGGTGGTGTCTCTGCCTTTGGCTGAGATGCTGGGCACAATGCTCTGCAGAGTCGGCTTTGCAAAAGACAGCCACCGCTGTGCAACAGCATGTGCAGCTTTTGCTGAGAAGAAGCTTCTCTTGGTGGCAGACTGGTCTCAAGCAGCTACGCGTGGAAAATGCCATGGAGTCTCACAAGAGCGCTCTGCGAGACAGAATTTCCAGTTGGTTGCAGGAGATGGAGGACGAAGCGCCAAACAGCCTTGGAAGTCTCCAAATGCCGAATTTTCAACTCTTGGCTTTGCAGGGAGAAAATAGCCGTGTCTTGCCGGGAGCAGGTTTGCCACAGATGCGATGTGAATTCTTTTGCGTCACAACCAGTGCTCGCAAGAGCAGGTGAGAGCAGCGAGAGCGCAAGGAAGTTCTCGACAGAGTGATGCGTTCACGCCCACGCCTTCCAGTAAAGCAGGAGGTGGGCTCAATGGCGGCGTTGCCAGAAGAAGCACTTCCGGCATCAGCAAGGCAGCAACAAGTTGAGGTTGCCGTTCTCAACTTTGCTAGCCTCAGATGTTTGTGCGAGGCAGCCAATGAATCGCTTTCGCTTGCTAACAATTTAGTGTACATCTGCCTGAGAGGTCAGCCGTTGCAGAAAGCTGACTGGCCGGCGCGCCCGAGGCCCAACCCCTGCTATGCCGACGAACATGGAGCCATGAATCGGCACTCACTTTCATGCCAGAGCTAGCCACTTGAACGGTCCGGCTTTTAGTTCAAACCAATACAGTCCGTCAGCACTCGAATTTCGTTGCCGCACCGGCGATTGTAGAGCAGCCAGTCGACTGGTACTCGTAGCGCAAGCATGTCCGGTGCATCAAGTGGCCAGGCTGGTCATGCGGCGTTCGGGCTTGCTGCAGTGCGTGACCCATCTTGGCGAAGCCGGCGAAGTGTTTAATCCGCGCTCGTGTGCTGCAGCGCTGCAGTGAGGCGCAGAGAAGTTCATCAATACAAGGCTCGCGCCGGGTGAGCTGTCATTGGAGCTTCGGAGATGCGCAGAATCATGTCCACTGCCAGAGTCAGTTACCTGGACGTCTGGTAATTAGCCTCCTCGTTTCAAAAAGAGCGCTGGCAACAGCCTCTGTGGCTTCTGCTTCTGGTATGTTTCCGGCTTTTGCATGCCAGTAAGTTTGCTTGTCATCTCACTCAGTTGTCGTTGTACAGGTTGCAGAAGGGAGTCTCAGTTCGACCGTGTTCAGAGAACAAGCCATAATAATGACATGAATGGCATGGGGTGGGGTTCGTTTGGTCCAGAAAAGGTCAGCTACGTCTCTGGCCGCTTGGCGGCTCCAAGCTCAGCAGTGGCGGCTCCAGAGTTTTACCCGTTTGCTCTTGGTACATCCGCTCTCTGCAATGTGTTGCTTGCCAAGTCTTTCCCTGTGCGCTTGCACCGGTGCGCCAGCCGAAGTCTTACCGTTTTGGGCGCACGCAGGTTGATAGGAACAACACGTTCAACACGTTCCGTCTCACTGCTGCCGCTTTTAACTGGTGCACGCAGGTCTTGATGTATCTGTCAATCCGGTTTGTTAGCCAGAGGCCGCGAGACGACCTTGTGGTGTTGCAGCTTTGGTGCACTTAACTAGTTGTCACCACGATGCATGCGCTATGTGCAGCACAGAAGTATTAGCAATTGCAGTGTATGATGTACTATGCATATAGCAAGCAGCACAAAGAATGCATTATGCACTCGCATTGCCCGAAGGTGGTCATAGCTGTCTAAATACTGTCGGGCCTACTGCAGCGCATGACACTTGTGCCTGCAATCCGGCTGGATGCCCAACCTGAATACGGAGGACCAGCTGAGTCCGCAGCCAAGGAGTGGGCACAAGTTTCGTTTGGACCAGGCAATGCCAGCGGTGTGTTACTGAGTTTACTAAACACCCAGGTCAAGTTCTCAAAGATGCTGCCCAGCCTGCAGACACCTTGGATCCGAAAGTGCCTCGATCAATAAAGAGAGTAGTTGCATACGGCGCACGGTGACTGAAGCTGCCTTAGGCCTTAGGTGAGGTTAAGCTGCACAGGTGCAGCGAAAATCCTGAAACCACACCCTGGGCATGGTTCTTCTGGAGTGTGACGGTTGGCACGTGCTCGGCATGTTTCTACCAACGTACAGCTAAGCAGGTACTCTCACGTACAGCTTGCCCTCGACGGACGGTCTTACAAACATACCTTTCCACGAGTTGTTCTTAGCTTGCCCAAGGTTGCAGCACTGCAGGCCGTGGCCAAAGCTGCACAGGCCGGATCGGGGAAGGCAGAAGCGCAAAGGCCCTGCAATGGTGCAGCTTCTGGAACTGGAATCTGTGAGCGCAAGCACAAGAACTGATTGTCAGAGTCATAGCTCCAAAAAGCCCAGTGCCGGTCGTACGACAGGCTGTGTTTGGCAGTGGGCACAGGGCATGTTCTGTCGGCTTCCGTGTCAGGCGGCCGAAGAGCTTCGAGGAGCTGCTGTGAATACGATGGGCCCTCGTGACAGCGAGTGAGACTTTCATGGAGCTGTAGCTACCGCCGAGAACAGGCCCGGAAAGCAGGATCCGCATGCATCATGTTACCCAGACAGTGCCTCCATGGCGTACAGTGTACAGCACGTCCAAGCAATCCCTGCCAGTGCGACGTGTACAAGCGGCTTCAGAGCTCTGAGCCGTTTACCCCGTCACATCAAGTTGTATCCCCCACCGCTGTGCAGCAACGACTTGGCCTGACACAGCTAGCGTAGGAGTCAACTGCTACTGTTGCGCGAAGTGCAGGAGTTCAGGAGTACCAGAAGGTCAACGACTGGGTGGCTGCGAACCCTTTTTACCGTCCCCACTTTGTTTCTGGCTCGAAACTTAGACTGCTTCGTTGCAGTGGTGGCTTCTTGAGGTGGGTCGGAGATCTTGCGGTAACGAGAAAGGAAACTTGCTTTCAGCAAGCCGAACCTTTAAAGATGTCAGGCTAGTGGCTTACGCCCGAAACTCACGCGAAAGCAGAGTTGGGCAGTCGGCCAGGTCCGGTGTACTTCACTTTTGCATCAGTTTATGTCAAGCAGGAAAGAAGGCAAGACAGATTCGCGCGGATGCTTGTCAGCGCCGATAAAATCACAAGTTCAGATTGATGAGGACAGGCACCACTGCACCACCATACCGGCTCTTACCATGGCACACATTAGCGACGGTTCCTGACCCGGATAGACATGCAGTACGTGGCACATAATAATTGCTATCTGCTATCTCCAACAAATGCCCAGAACTGGGATGGGTGAGCTTGCACTGCCTTGCCACCAGGTGTACATCCTGCCGTCATCGAAAGCCCACCTGGTGTAAGAGGCTCAGATTGCCAAATGCATTGACCAAACTCATGTCACCGCAAAAAGTTCAGGTGATGGGGATTCTGGCCAGGACTGGTGGATTGAGTTGGAGGTTGAGGGTGGGCTGCGGCTAAACGGAACGAGGCTCGGAGATGAAAGCCAGGACCAACCCCCTTGCCGCCTGGCATGCCGCGGAGACCGTGCGCATGGCAGCAGAGGCTTCGCTGTTGCTGTTTGCATGTCACTGCCACGCGGGGTCGTAGAAGTTTAAGTTGGATGCTCAGTTGTTGCAGGGTTTGTGGAAGATGCAGTAACTCCGACCCTTTGGCCGTCTCTAGCTTCCAATGGCAAGAAAGACAACACGGGGCAAAAAAGCTGGCAAGTTTCGGCAGCCCACCGCCGGCACGAGCGGGCAAGCACGGGTTGCTGACGTGGACGCATGCACAGCGAAAGGACAAGCAATTAAGAGACAAAGACTTCTCGTTACACGACGAGGGTCTGTGCCAGATACACATGCCATGTAGAGAAGGCATCAAAATTCTGGCAGGATTTCCTTCCGGGTGGAGACCTGTATCATCTGCGTGATAAAGGCGGAAGCTGCAGCTCAGGGTTGTCACAGAAGGTCTTGCGCATTTGTAGTCGGGGCAGCATTGACCTTGAGATTTTTGTGACAGCTTCCAGAGCAGTTGCAGGCCCAGCCCTCGCTGAGCAGCTCCGGCCTAAACGGCTTCTGAAGAGGGCAGCGGCGGGAGGGCGATTAGGTGAAGTGGAAGCGTGTCTTGCGAGGTTCATGTCCTCTGCCTCGCTGCCTGCCGAAGCTGCCTTGATCCTGCCGGCCTTGGACAGGGCCTGCAGGCCAGCCGCGATGGTCAGCTGCCCACATTATCGGCTTGCTTCGCCCAGGCAGAGACGTCAGAGATTTGGCCTGCATGGGGCCACCTGGAAGCTCCGATCAGAAGACTGCTTTTGTAGTTAGCACTGAAGTTGGCAACCTGTGCTTGTGAATTGACTCATCAGTCAAAGGCCAAAGAGCTGCATCTAGTCATCATAGTCATTTGGGTCTGTCGCTCCATGTTCCTGTTGACTCTTTTGCGTGTATGTTACATTGCTTGTGCGTTTGGCAGCCGGGGGACGAGCGTTCAGCGGTTGAGGCGACCATGGCGCATGGGTTCTTGTGAGACTTCATGGCATCTTCTTCAAGCCGGTGATCCTGCACGCAACACCAATACTACCTTGGTGCTACAGTGTGCTGGCCCCACTGTTTCTAGCGATGAATTCGACGCCAGCTTTTCATGCTTGCTCGACGATAGTCGGCGACCTTCACAGCACGCGACCGGCAAGTAGAACATTGAATGTCAAAATGCATGCCTCGCCATGTGCTTGAACTACATGTCAATCTGAGTGCACGGTACGCTGTGCACAATCATCCAGTCGGCTTGTCACGTAACTGCTACTGAACTGCAACTTTGTAGCTTTTCCGAGTGGCAGTCGTAAGATTTCAATGCAGGTACTACAAGCAGCGCTATACGCTCTTCTCCAGGCTGGAGCCCCAGAACTGGTGCCACCCAAATGATATTCCTATCGCTTTCAAACCTGTTTTGCATGCACATACCCGCTCTCACACATGCACGCATGCAGACAGTCTAAACCAGTAGCTAGATGTGATATGTTATTGGTAAAGCTGTAAACATATCAATCTGTTGGAGTGTGTTGGTGTGCACCCTCGTGTCTACACCCACCAACAACCAACACACACACACACACACACACACACACACACACACACACACACACACACACACACACACACACACACACACACACACACACACACACACCACACACACCACACACACCACACACACCACACACACCACACACACACACACACCACACACACACACACTTTTGCTGTGTCTCACAAGCTTCTGCCTTGGATATTTGATACATGTCCCTGAGATGTTCGAACTAGGAGAGTGTGGATTACGAGAAATCAATGAGACCAGCTGAAAGACGAGAATGACGATCCTGCTTGTCGAGCTGGAGTGTTGGGTTGATATTGAAGATGGTGAGAGGTTTGCAAATGCAGTCCACTGAACACTATTGGTTGCCGTAAATGTTTGCCATTGCGACGATCCTTTCAAGTGAAGCACGAAACCGCAGGTACGCCAAGCTGTCCAAGCTTGGTATGCTGTGCATTCATGCCTGGTTCCCAGATGCACATCCCATCCCACCGTCTCTTCGGCTGCCTGCGGGTGCCATAGCTTTTGTTTTCTTAATGGTTCATCCAAAGTTTCATCATGTTTCATCCAATTGCGTATCGTGTGCCTTCTCTGATGTGTTGAACTCATCACTATAGGGAAAGAACCCTCAAACAAGAAGAATCCCAAGGGTCCAGTGCACGAAACTCATTGCGCCGACAATGAAACAATGGACCGTGTCGATCCGCGTGTCACGGGATTCAGTGTTTGGCCCCATGCCATTCCAAATTTGCGGGCACGTCACAGGGATGTCTGCGGTTGAAATCCAACACTCTTTGTAACAGAATGTGGCGCGCGCACAGACACAGGAAGTCCTTACGGTTCCCTTGTGTGCATGTACGGGGCTTGGGTCATCTCGTCGTGGTGGAGCGGTGCCCTGGCTGGGCTCTTGGCCCTCAACACAGACAGACTTGCGCTCTCTGTCCATCGACGAGAGATGAGAAAAACCCTCGTCATAGATCCTGCTCGGTACTTGTGCTGATACTACTTACTGTGTGAGGTACGACCGTGGCATCGAAATTGACAAGGCCAGTCATCTGGTGCTCTTGCTGGCTCACTCCACAAGTCTCACAGGCGGTTGCGATACTGCCCAAAGCCTGGAGGATATGTGGTATTCGGTAACACCAGAGCCGATTGCCAAAGAGCAGGCTCGAAAGGCCTGCAGCATTGGGCATGTGCAGGATTTAGGCGGAGGTTCAAGCTTGCGACATAGAATAGCAGCCCACGCACGCACACCACTCTGGCGACATACGCACTGAACTCGTTTCTGATTCTACGAGGAACAGAATAGATTCAGGAAGTTTGCAAAAGCCACTTTCAAGGGGACCTGGAAATGTGATCAGTTATAGGAGGCCTGCTCGCGCACGTGACTTTGAACTAGTCGGCTGATTGAAGGTGGCAGCTGCGCAGAGAGGCACGGGTTTCTGTGGTACGTGTGCGGTGGCTTGAAAAAGGACCTCGGCTGCAGCTGCCGAGCTTGCCCGTTAGTTGCGGCGAGCTCTAGAAAGCCGACTCATTAACCTTGGGAGCGAAGTCGCAAGAGCGAAATCTTAACGAATGGACGTTCTACGGGTCCATGAGAAACGCGATGGGTTTCTGCATTTGGTAGGGTGCGAGGTTTGGGGGTTTGGCAGGCGGGAAGTGGGCTCGAGATGGGCACATCGCCCGAGGCCACAGGGAAATCAGCGTGTTTGCACTCGCACCGTGCTTTGCAGTAGCCATCATCAGCTATTCTCGCTCCCCCTCAGACTGTCAGGCCAGCCCGGCATCGTTGTTGACAGCTTCTGTGGTGCTGGTGGGCCTGTCGCCCAAACGGCTGGAGTGCTTGCATCCACGAAGAAGAACGCGTGGCGATTTGACGTCCTCCGAAATTTTGACGAGAGAGTGCCAAAGGTGCAGCAGTTGTAAACACAGCTGGGCATTCCGCAGGCAGAGGCTCATACTGACTCATACTGATTACACAACCCGCGAGCGAGAGGGAGAGCATTGCTCGAATTCGCAAATCTAAGTCTGAAGTCCAGCCAGTGCGATTCTGTAACGTGCTTTCACAGTTTGGAACATTCCCAAAGTCTGCAGCCTCTGCCGCCATGGCATTGCTTTCGGCAGCCGAGCTCCGTGAGGAGTTGAAGCATTTTGCCCCGGACTAAGAAGGAGACCAATAGCTCATTTTCAGGATGTTCCATACTCTGTCCCTGTCCCGGATGTGCACAGGCTAGCACCGCCATTCGCGAAGAGTTAGCCGCGCTGAAGGCCTCCATTTGCATTGCTTCGGAAGTGGCATTCCGAAGTTGCCAGTGCCTGGGCCGGGAACTGTTCTTGGCACAGGCGAGTCTCCTCAGCGAGTTGGGCGCCGTGGAATGCGAGCAGGCAGAATGTAGCAGTGATTTGATTTGCGGCATCATGCACATGCAACTCCAAACCCACTTTTGCACAAGTGTTGAGCTGCCACCGCCTCCAGCAGCACAGCACTGCATCCCGACCCCCACCCCGTCCTGCTTTGACGGCCTCCAGCTCCAGGCTACCTTTGCCACCAGTGAACAACCTTACGAAGCCAGCCAGTTGCTCCATCAGCACCCTGGGTTTTCACAGCCTCGTTTGCATGCCTGTAGGCCTCACATCGAATGCACCGCGCAGGCCGAACCGTGTCGGAAGCTGGTTGTGGAAGCCAAACATGGTGCCGCGCCGGGCGAGGCTCTGCTTTTGTTCAGATGGAACGCCAGCAAGTTTGCGGACGAAAGTAAACGAGTTGGCCAGACGGCTCTGCTGGGCAGGACCACGTCCGCAGCACAGGCAGTCAAAGCAGGTGCCTCTGCGTGCTGTGACCAGCTGTTCTGGCCAAGAATGTTGCGCAAGGTAAGGCTTGCACGGTTTGTCGTTTCTGCTGGGGAGAACCGATGTAGTAGGCCTAGGGAAGATTGCAAGAATCGAAGTGCAAGCGGTTGGATCGTTTCGACGTTTCGGTTCCAAGTGACCTGCAGGTTTCGATCTCGAATTCGAGAGGACCGTGCAAGTAACAAAGATTCCAAATGCCCGTGAGACTTTTTTGCATCAGGCGAGTTCGGGAAGTCTGTCATGGATTCTAGCAGCGGGATTTCGGGAGTAGACGGGTTGAGCACAGATGAGCGAGCTTGCTAAGTCTTACTACCCATAGTAAGGCTCAAGATGCTCAAGCTCAGGTTCTAAGGTCATGCTGTCATGCTGTCATGCTGTTGGGAACAGGCAGGCCGGAACTCCCCACCAGCATCCTGTGAACGCAGGGACGCATCCCTGCTTCCGACACATGCAGTGGATGCAAAAGAAGCAGCGGTCATCCGAGACATGAATGTGCCCAAGCTGCAACTGGAAAGGGTGCCGTCAGGTGTCGCAGGGCCAGGGCCAAACAGTTGCAAGTCAGTGATGGAGTTGCTTCGAGGCAAGTGTGCGATACATGGGCCTCCATGGTGGCGCAGAGAATGATGGACGATCCAAGTCAGGATGGCGCCTGCGCTATTTTTAGAAATTGGGCCGTTCTTTGCCAGAGTTGCAACTTATACTGCTCCCAACACGCATCTCGCAACTGCATCCTCAGTTCGGCATTCATGAACTATTGCGCCGACATCATCCACAACCACTACTTCGAAGTGGCTTGGCAGCCTATGGCAGCTTACCTTCGACTGACTGCAGCACCTGTTTCACCGAACAGCAAGAGTTGTTGCAGCTTTGTGATCATTGTCCATTCCCGGACTGCGTCTTCGCGCGGGCTGGGTGTTGGATGCGGTTGTTTCTGCTAAGTCTTGGACAGGGGCGACTTCAACACTTCAACGTCACGTTTGCCAGGGAGTGGGATCATGGCGTTATTGCTCAAGACAAGCTAGCAAATCTCGGCAGCAATGAAGCATTCTCACCGCACAGCCCTACCAAGATGATGAGTGCCTGGCTTGTCGTCATGAACGCGATCTGGATCGGCATCAGCACGGATGCTCGTTCGATGATTCCATTGGATGTTTTGAGTTGGCTGTAGTTGACAAGATCCTCGGTAGGAGGCACGAAGCCTCCGATGTAAATCCGATGAGTCTGTGCGTGCCTCTGGACGCTTTTGAGTGCTAGGGGTGGAGTGAGATGCGTGCACCCGAGGATTGGGTAGCACGGAACTGGACCACGACTGTACCAGATTGGTTCCACTACACAGCCTGCTGGCAGAGCTGAGCTTGAGTTGTTGCTGGTGTTGCCATCACAGCGGTAGATGCTCCAACTCAAGCCGAGCCCGAACAAAGCCCACACTTTCTCCGCCAACTCGTTTCGTGTCTCTGCGATCGAACTTGAGCTCAAGGTTCCTCTAGAAAGGATGGCTTCAAGTTCCGCGCATGTCGGGAACATGTAGTTTCAGAGGATTGGATTTTCTGTCTCCTGGCCGTCGCGGAGCTGTTCATCCGCATCGGAGCACAGGGTTGTGCCTTCTTCTACGAGGACAGAGTCGGAGGCATTGAGGCAATTTGCCACTCAAGCTTTCGCCTGCACATGTCATCACATGTCTGCTTCCGGTGGCAAGCTTCACGCCTCACTGCAGCGTAGATTGAAGTTGGGTTTCCCATATGTTGCGTGACATGGATTGATTTCAGGCGCAGGTTGCGAGCTGGTCCCTCTAAGAAATACTGTATCATGGCCCAGTCGTCATCCAAGCTTGCAGCATTCCATATCTGGTCAGGACCATTGGAAGTGGAACATGTTTGACACACTGGTGGTAGTGACACAGATCGCCGATCTTGTTATCAGTGACTCGTCCGCACCCTGGGCTCGGGATGTTTGCTGTGCTCTTTGCAACATGCTTCCGTGTCAGGCGTTATCGAGCGGTCCGTCAGTGAAGCAGCCAGCCAGTGCCCAAGTCAGCCAGCATATCTCCAGTTCGAGTGACCTTCGCATTTTCACAAGACCGCGAAAGCTCACGCGCCCGTCAGGTTTCTCCACGGTAAAGTGCTAAAGGCCCCCACAGTCCGTGGCCTCTCAGAAATCAGGAGTAACTGCTGAACACTCTTACAGGTCTTGTAGGCATCCGTGCAGAAGCAAGAAACCACGCCAAAAGCGATGCTTTTACCACCAGCATCCAGCATTGGATCACAGCAGGTGGTAACGGACACCAGCATTTCGTGCAGCAAGCGCGAGAGTACAAGCACGCTAAGCTGGCTTTTGACCATAAGGCAGGTGCTTACACTTCACGATCTTGTACGCCGCAGCCCTCAATGTGCTGAGCAGTTTGCCTTGAGGTCTCAGAGTGCTGAAACTCGCGCCTTGTCTTGACTGCCAAGCGCGTTTTGAGACCTAGTGACGAGCCTTGTGCACAACCTTGCAGGGGATAATGCGTCGAATCAAACACTGTAAGATTCCGCCAAGGTGCGGATCCTGCGCATCGCGCGCATCGCCTCAGCTTTCCCCGAACTCCACATATTGATCAGTTCCATTATTGAGACTCAGCGTGGTTGGCTTTGTCTTGACACACTGGGCGTCAGTCCCACCTCTGAAGTTACCTAGAGCTCAGGACTCGCTCCAGTCTCTTTTCTGGACGATGGTCCTGATCTTTGCCTGTCTGTACGGCGTTGCTGTAGCAACCTGCCTGCATCACAAGGGTCCGACTGTTAGCATGTGGCCGCGGGTCTCATGTCACACATAGAACAACTTGGTGGTACATCTCCCTCATCCCGGCACTGCACTTGAACACACTCCAATCCAAGCAATGTGATCCTCCTGATGGGGACAGAGGAGGAGGTTTAAAAAGGGAACCAGAAGAGGCAGGGGATGAAGAAGGTACGAAAGCGACGCAGGGCACGTGATTACAAAGCGAGCATGGCTGAGAAGTGCTATTGTTGCCAGGTGATTACACAGGTCGTCTCAGACCACAAGATCGCGATAGGCCGCCGGTTGCTTGCTTTCGACCTGTGAGACTTGCTGCGCAACGGGCACGTGCCTGTGGAAAGGGTTGCTCGGCAGTAGCATGATACGACGAGGTTTCTTTGATCACTAGACACGGGTGTGCAATTTCTACTCGCTCAATCAACCCTCACAACATGCCATCTTGTCATCTGCAAGGCGGCAGTGAGGAGGCAGGTCGGTTTGTTGCTTGGTTCCTGGTGAGGCCGAGAGGTCATGGAGCAGCGCCACGAGCCGCGCGGCAAGGGAACACTAGCGTGGGTCAAATCCCACAGCTGCTTGCTTGCTTTTTAGTGTTGGACTTGTAGCCAAGAGCACCTCACCGCAAGGGAAATGCTTCACTTCTTTGGATCTTTGGACTCCACGATGGTGGCTCTCTACATGGCTTCTCCGATGATCATCAGCGGTAGGTGAGACAAGAATCGGTCCGGCCTTTGTGCGTCCAGTTCTTCCGGCTGTCACAGATTCGGTCAAGACTGCATCCCTAGTTATAGTGAAGAGTTGTTCTGAGTTTGGGAACCTGAGCTCCGATTCGATTTGAGGTAATCTCTGAGGGCATCCATTGGCACCCGGGCTTGGATCAGTTGAACCCGTGAGTTGCGAACTGGCTCATGTCAAGCCCAGGAGCGAATTGATGAACCAACTTGAAGAGACTTTGGGTGGGTGGGTGCGTTTCCTCTTCGTCGCCTTCACAGGACGGGTAGACACTCTCTGATTACAGCTCCTCCTTGCGCGGAGCTTGCCGTAGTAGCACGTAGCAACCGGCACTACCAGGATTCGAGCTGTTTGCGATGATGAACATCATTACCGCGTGCTTCGTAGCTTGTCTGTCTGCCGGCATACTCCGAACCAAGTCTTTGAAGTGGATATCCGAGCAGATCCCCCATCAGCTGAGGTA